GCTTTCCACAGGTGGGCACCCTGGAAGGCAGCAGCTCAGGTAGCTGGGTGCCTGCAACACATGGGAGACCTTGAATGAATTCTGGTCTCTTGATTTTGGCTTGGACCGGCCCTAGTTGTTGTGGGCATTTGGGGAGTGTGCCAGCAAATGGAAGATCTCTCCCTCTCTGCTTTAAAAAGTCTTTTAAGGAGCTTGAAGGAAGGGGGTTCAGGGCCATGTCTCCATCTTGGCTCATCACTGTTAGGCCGTCACAAAGCACACCAAACACTGGAGTAAGGGAAAGGGTTTGTTGAAGAAACTCCAGCAGAACAGACCGGAGGGAAGGGGTGAAGAGGGAAAAAGGGAGAGAAGGAGAGTATAAGAGAGAGACAGAGAAGAAAGGAGCTAGCGAGGAGAGAAGATAGAGATGAGAGGAGAGGAGAGCGCATGAGAGGAGCCAAGAGAGCCATGTGTTCAGGAACAGGTCCTTTTAAAACTTTGTCGGAAGTCAGGAAGGGCAGCAGGAGCAGTGAATCCCATTAGGACTGGGGTGGAGCTTGGGCCATGTGGCCACCTGGCTTCCAGCAATGGCAGTGGGGGCTAGAGCCTAGGATGGTGTCAAGGTGTAGATCACACCATAGATAAAACTGTGCCCTTTTCCTAACAATCACAGTGGGGCCCCTGCACTGTCCCTACCCCCACCCAAGTCAACAGTCCTTGTAAATACAGATCCCATCCTGTTCTGCTGCTTTCCAGTCTCAACAGTCACAGCCAACTGGCATTGCTTAGGAGTGGCACCCCCTGAGCTGCCCAATGGCAGGGATATTGATCTGTTTTATTAGTTGCTTCTGTATCTCCAAGTGCCTGCCAGGTTACATAAGCTAAGCCCTTCTCCCAAGGTTACATGGCTGGTAAGTTCAAAGGCAGGAGGAACTCAAGTCCCACCCATTCTAGGAGGATTTAGGGAGTGTTTTATGGATGGCCTTAGGCTTTCCTAGACAACTGCTAAATTACAGATAAGATGAAGAGAGTTTGGGCTGTAACACACATGTAAATTACACTTGGTCTAGATTGCTTTATTTACTATTTGACTAGGTATTTTCCAGACTGAAGGTTTTTTTTTTTTTGCTATCCCTGGAGAAAACAATTTGGACACATTTCTTGCAGATCTTGGGGAATGTAAAATGAGAAAAGTCACATGGAGATTTGTGGGGAGCAACTCGGACTAGACTAAGTTACTGGAATTAAGACTTATTCTGTGCATCTGCTCTCCCACAATATGGCGCTGGGAGAGGAGGAAACAGCTTCTGCGCAGCTGCCTCTTGCCAACTTGAGTGATGACCTCCAGGAGCTGATCCTGCTCCTGATTGGAGGAGAGCAGCGTACTCGGCGTGTGGGCAGCCGAGTTGGGATTGGCGGAAGAGGACTATAAAGGAGGAGAGAGACAACATGCACCAGGAACATCTAAGGGGAACATCTATCTGAAGGAACACCTGTGCAGCCCCCGAGAGAGCCGGCCGGCGGTGTGCCGCTCCCCTGCGGAAGTGGGGAAGGTGGCCAGGGGGAACCGCCCTTCCACGGAGGTGGAGGGACGGCAGCCAACCCGGGAAGAACCAGCAGCAAACCCGGGGAGGGCCGAGCAGACGAAAGAACAACGCAGAATCCTGTGTCGTTCCTCCACGAAGACGGGGAGCGACATAATGGTGCCGTGACTCGGATCGGAAACCTAGGAGGGAAAAAATGGGAAGAAGTGGGAAATTACCGGAGAGAGAGACTAGCAAAGAGCCTAGGGGAAAGCCGGACGGAAAAGGTGCCGGAAGAAGCTATCAAAAGCCTAGGCATAGACTCGGATACGGACTACGGGGGGAAGTTGGGAGAAATCTCTAAGGTCGAAAGCGAAAGTGAAAGCCAGAACAAACAGACTCGGATACGGACTGTGGGGAGAAGCCAGGAGAAATGAGGGAGGAATATTGTTGGAAGAAAACTTAGGGAAACATACCGGGTAGAGAAAAATGTTAGGGAAATTGAAGCTGCGGGGGCAGGCCGAGGCGGAAACGTAAGCTATCTTGGGATTCTTCAAGTCAGCCCGGGGAGCAAAAGGCGAAAATCTGGAACCAGAGGCAGAGACGTGGGCCACTAGGTTGGAATACGTCAGATTAGCCTGGGGAGCAAAAGACGGGAAGCCAAACCGTGAGGCGGAAGCGTGGGCTGGGTTGAATTCGCCAGGTTAGCCCGGGGAACTTAGATTGAATACCAGTGGCGGAAACGTGAGCTGGAGCTGTGTGACTCGCGGAAGCCGCCGCGTGCAGAGAGAGCACGGGGCGTGAATAGATAGGGAACGTGGGGCTAGTGCGAGGCTGTGGTGCGGGCGTGAAGGGGCGCGGAGACCGCAGAGTGCGCGCACGAAGCCGAGCCGCGCAGATGAGAGAAGCGCTGGCTGAAGCGGCTCAGAGCCGGGAAGCCGCCGAGAAGCAGCCTCGGGGCGGGCGCCGGGAAGCCACAGGGATAAGAGAAACAGAAGTCTAGAAGTAAAATGAGAGAAATAGGAATGCTGGTAGATAGAAGTAAAATAGGAGAAATAGGAATGCCCGGAGATAGAGAAAGGCCTCCCCACAACACAGCAATGAGAGAGCTTGGATTCGGTCTGCCTGATTAGGGAGGTGGTGAGCACCTGCGGGCGGCTAGCAGCTTATGCGCCGCAGGTCACCAAAGACAGGCACGTTATCAACACCAATAAGTCTCCCCACAAGACGGCAATGAGAGGGCTTGGATTCGGTTTGCCTGATTGTTAGGGCTTGTAAGCACCTGCAGGCAGTTCTAGCAGAGCAGAGCATGAGCTGCAGGGCACCGAACTCAGGCACGCATCAGCGCCTAAAAACCTCCTCACAACATGGCGAAGAGAGGACCTGGATTCGGTTTGCCTGATTGGTAGGGCTTGTAAGCACCTGTGGGCAACTCTAGCAAGCAGAGCAGAGTGTGTGCCACGGGGCACCGAAGACAGGCACGTATCAACGCCAAAAATAAAAAGAAAGGGGGATCTGTGGGGAGCAACTCAGACTAGACTAAGTTACTGGAATTAAGACTTATTCTGTGCATCTGCTCTCCCACAATATGGCGCTGGGAGAGGAGGAAACAGCTTCTACGCAGCTGCCTCTTGCCAACTTGAGTGATGACCTCCAGGAGCTGATCCTGCTCCTGATTGGAGGAGAGCAGCATACTCGGTGTGTGGGCAGTCGAGTTGGGATTGGCGGAAGAGGACTATAAAGGAGGAGAGAGACAACATGCACCAGGAACATCTAAGGGGAACATCTATCTGAAGGAACACCTGTGCAGCCCCCGAGAGAGCCGGCCGAGCGGTGTGCCGCTCCACTGCGGAAAGTGGGGAAGGTGGCCAGGGGGAACCGCCCTTCCACGGAGGTGGAGGGACGGCAGCCAACCCGGGAAGAACCAGCAGCAAACCCGGGGAGGGCCGAGCAGATGAAAGAACAACGCAAAATCCTGTGTCGTTCCTCCACGAAGACGGGGAGCGACAGAGATTTATTTGTATTTAAGGAGAGCATTCAGATACACTGAGAAATGAAAGGGACAGGAAAGAGCTCAGTGGCCCTCAGGGGCTGAGGTGGGGAGAGCGGGTTTTCTTTGGGGTGATGGAAATGGTCTGTTTCTCCATTGTGGAGCTTACACTACTGCGCACACTTTCAAAAGTCTGAAAGTGACTGTGCCTACAGAGGGTCAGTTTCACTGTTTTGTAATAGTCCTTGAGGTTAACTTGACCCTAAAACAATGGTTAGTCTGAACGGTGAGTAGCACTGTCCAGACACACTTTTTCTCTTTTGGTAATGAGCCATGAATTTCCCTTAGCTCCCTTGCTGGCTTTACCCAGTCCCTTGTCACAACCAAGGCTGGGCCAGGCTGAAGCCATGAGTCTGGGATTCCAACTGGGTTTCCCACGTGGAAGGTAGGAGCCCAACTACTTGGTCTAACTTCCACTGCTTTCCCAGACCATTAGCAGAGAGCCGGATCAGAAGTGGAGGTGCTGGGAGATGTGGCTTAGCTGATACACCTCAATGCCTGCCCCAGCCTGGTTTTCTTGCTGCCTCTCTCTGAGAGGTAATGTCCTGCAGAAGGAACTGCATATGTTGCCCATCACCTCTTCAGGGCTTCTCCTGCCTCACTAGAGCTGCTGCTTGTCTTCTCCATTAGCCTGCTGCTGGCTACTCCCAGGTCTTAATCTCTCAGTAGTCAGAGGCTGTGAGATTGTAGCGAGTGAAGTCGGGAAGGCCATACCCTGCGTGTCCTGCCTTGAAGTGGGAGAATTACAGTTTCTTTGAACTCTTATATACATTGAGTTCTTAGATGACATAATTTAGGATTTATCCTCACGTTTGAAAATTTGAGGCTAAGTCCCTCTTTCTCTCTCTCCTCCCATGCGTGTATGTTTGTATTTTCACTTTTTTTCTGTTAATTGTTGTTTGCTTATTTGAGAGGCAGAGAAACCGACAGATGGAGTGAGCTCCTGTTGGCTGGTCCACTCCCTAAGTGCCCTCAAGTGCTTGGGGTAGGCCAGGGCTGAAGCCAGGAGCTGGGAACTCCATGTGAATGACAGGGGTCCAGTTACTCAAGGCATCATGTCACTCTTGCCTTCTAGGATCTGCAGTAGCCGGAAGCTGAAGGCAGGAGTCAAAGCTGGGTGCTCTTCTGTGGGATGGGGGCATCCTAACCACTCGGCTGAACACCTGCCCTTGTTCATTGTATACTTAGTGTGCAGTTGAGTAATCCTCCCAGAGTCTCAGCTCTCCAGGGGACTCCAGAGCGTCTGCTCCTTAACTTGACTGCTAGTGACTTCATCTTGCTGGCGCGTGTCTTACCTTTAAGCCCCTCTGCAACAGGGAGAGCGGGGTCTGAGGAGGTCTGAAGGTTTAACAGCAGGCATTGGTCCTCCCTGCTTTCACAGGAGTTCACTGTCTGTAGGCAAATTCCACCTGTGACTTGTGCGTTCAAAAATGACGTGGGAATTGGAGGTGCACAGTGCAGTGTGGAGGAGAAGGGTCAGGAATCAGGCTCTTACTGCAATATGGGAAGTGCTGAGGGGGCCTTCAGGGGGCTTGGAAGACAAGGTGTTAAAGGCGTCATCTCAGGATTGAGACATTGCTGGAGATCTTTGGGACTTTTATAGGAAAACCCTGGCAGGTAAGTCATCACTGTTTTTCTTTCCTTGGCTTCCCATTGTATGTGGAATTGTGAACAAAATGCTGTGAGCTTCCAGGAATGACTGTTTTATTTTGGTCAACAGTATTTTGGTTTAAAAAAATATGAAATGTGTTTAGGGACAGAGATCAGATTTAATTCTTTGGGACTCGCCTATTTTTTTTTCCCCTTGAGGAATGGAATCGGGTTCAGTAACAATTGTTTAGAAGAGAGTTCCAAAGAAACAGCATTTTCTTTCCCGGCTATTGCCACACTTAATCATCTTATGGATTTGTTGTTCTTATCCTGAAGTATACAACATTTTACTTTTTAAAGCACTTTTCTATATTTAAAAGAAACATAATGTTACCACAGTTTTGTGCTGCTTTGGAAACAGAAACAAATTTGTTTTGATACAAGAATAACTGATCCGGGCCGGCGCCGTGGCTCAATAGGCTAATCCTCCACCTTGCGGCGCCGGCACACCGGGTTCTAGTCCCGGTCGGGGCGCCGGATTCTGTCCCGGTTGCCCCTCTTCCAGGCCAGCTCTCTGCTATGGCCAGGGAGTGCAGTGGAGGATGGCCCAGGTGCTTGGGCCCTGCACCCCATGGGAGACCAGGAAAAGCACTTGGATCCTGGCTCCTGCCAACGGATCAGCGCGGTGCGCCGGCTGCAGCGGCGGCCATTGGAGGGTGAACCAACGGCAAAGGAAGACCTTTCTCTCTCTGTCTCTCTCTCTCACTGTCCACTCTGCCTGTTAAAAAAAAAAAAAAAAAAAAAGAATAGCTGATCCGTGTATCTTTTATGGAACTATGAAATCACTTTATTGACAAGTAGCTCAGCAAGAAGAACTGTAGCTACCTCTGCTATGGTAGCCAATCGATCCACGTCCACGTTATACTTATGTTCCGTAGAATTCACTGTACTGTGGGCATCTACATGGAAGACAGTGACATTAGTACATTGAATCAATTCCCATATTTCTTTTTTCCATAGTTTATCCCCCCATAGGAGTCTGCCATGAATTTGCCAATTATCCTTTTTCCATTTAGTGATCGAGGTAGTTAGACTCTTAGCTATGGCCCACGAATCAGTAAAAAGGTGACACTCCCTTCCTTTCTCATGTTTTAGAGCCTGGTATATTAATTGTAATTCAGCAAACTGACTGCTAAGGTTTTCTTCTTGGGACTCTAATACAATGGTGGTTTTTGCGTTATATGCCACAGCTTTCCAATATCTATGGTGCCCTATATATTTTGTTGACCCATCTGTGAACCACGCATGCTCTTAATAAAAACTCAGCTTTTTTTAAGCAATTAGAATTTAACAGAGACATCAAGAGAACATAAGAGATTACTTTAACTCATTGTTTTAAAAGAGGATCAGATTTTGATTTTATGTAAAAGAAAATAGACTAATAGTTTTGTAACCAAAAGTTTCTTCTTCCCATAATATTTTGTGACTTTCTTACACCTTCTGTAACTTACTCAAATCTTTCTTTTTTTCCATTCCAGTATAGCATAAACTAGCCATTAAGATAAAAAATTTTTTACAAACCATGTCCTTCCTTTATTTAAAAACCTCTTTTCCTTTGAACTTTCCTTAACAAGAACATGCTTTTATACTTGTGAACTTTTACCATTTATGGACTTTTTTTTTTTAATTTTTTTTTTTTATTTTTTGACAGGCAGAGTGGACAGTGAGAGAGAGAGAGAGACAGAGAAAAAGGTCTTCCTTTGCCGTTGGTTCACCCTCCAATGGCCGCCGCGGCTGGCGCGCTGTGGCAAGCGCATCGCGCTGATCTGAAGCCTGGAGCCAGGTGCTTCTCCTGGTCTCCCATGGGGTGCAGGGCCCAAGCACCTGGGCCATCCTCCACTGCACTCCCTGGCCACAGCAGAGAGCTGGCCTGGAAGAGGGGCAACCGGGACAGAATCCGGCGCCCCAACCGGGACTAGAACCCGGTGTGCCGGCGCCGCTAGGCGGAGGATTAGCCTAGTGAGCCGTGGCGCCGGCATTTATTGACTTTTTGATTTATAAGCTTATTAAGAAACATGGACCTATGGTCAAAGCTAACGAAAGCCTCCCATGGGGACCGAGAAGGGTGGATATAAGGGTGGTCAGCCAAGGTGACTGATTAAACCAGGCCTCAAACCATTGCTCTATGACACTCGTCCCCTTTTTGTCTTGCTAAACCTTTCCACACCTTCGCTATGTTTTCTCGGACTACCCCTGTATAATCAGCATAAAAGAAACATTCCTCCATCTTCAAAGTATATGTGGGCTTTAAGGCCTTATTAGTTATGAGGCCCAGACCTATTTATTTATTTACTTTTTACAGGGGTACATTTTAAGAGAGGTGTGAACCTCTTTGGGAAGGCACTTGATTCTAAGTTATTCCCAGAAACTGAATGGTTTGAGAGGGCCCTGTGTTTTTTGTAAATTTATTCCATCCTTTAGACCTTAAAAAATCAAGGCTCACTTCTAATTGTTGTTGCACTTTTTCCTGGGTGGTTGTTCTTTTTGCGGTGAGATGACAGCCACGTGGGCTGCCCAGCACGGGTTAAAGCAGACTCGTTTTAAATACGTTGTTACCTAGTGTGTATAACCTGGTTTATCTGGACTGTCAACTTATAGTTGTTTTCCCCCCACAGAAAGGCAGAAACTTTCCCGATGTCTTCCGACGATGTCCAGATTTTTGTGCCAATGTCACAAAGAAACAGCAATGGCCTCCCTGGGACAGCCACCAACGACCTGAAGACACCGAATGAGGGAGCCGTGTTAAGTTTTCATAACATCCGCTATCGAGTAAAAGTCAAGAGTGGCTTTCTCCTGTGTCGCAAAACAGTTGAGAAAGAAATCCTGTCAGACATCAAATATGTGCATGCGCTTTCTATGAGATGCTTTGTTGACCTGAGATGAACCTTTATAGTTTTGCCTTTTACCAGTAAGGCTGCTGCGAACACTTAGGCACAGGTCTTTGTACAGATACTCACACACATGCTTTCATTTCTTCAGGCTAGACTGGGAGTGAAATGATTGGGTCACGTGTAGGGCTTCTGTTTAACTTTCAGAGGATCTGCCAAATTGTTTTTTTTTTTTTTAAGCTTTATTTTATTTATTTGAAAGTTACCAAAAGGTAGAGACAGAGAAAGAGAGAGAGAAGAGAGGGAGAGAGAAGGTCTTCATCTGCTGCTTCACTCCCCAGATGGCCACAACAGCCAGAGCTGAGCTGATCTGAAGCCAGGCCAGCAGCTTCTTCCTGGTCTCCCATGTGGGTGCAGGGGCCCAAGGACTTGGGGGACTTGGGCCATCCTCTGCTGCATTAGCAGGGAGCTGGATTGGAAGTGGAGCAGCAGGAACATGAACTGGCACCCATATGGGATACTGGTGCTGCAGGCCAGGGCTTTAACCTTCTCTGTCACAGCACCAGCTCCCAAATTGTTTTTAGAAGTGTTTGTACCATGTACATCATCTTTTGCTTGGGCAGCTGAACAATTGGTGTGTCATTTGCTTTTTCCTGGATAAATCTTGAGTTTTGATGGAAAGAGGCTGGCTGTTTGATTTACTGCTTTCTTTTAATGGTGAAAATAATTTTTATTTTACTTATTTATTTTAAAATTGTATTTATTCACTGGAGAGGTAGAGAGACAGAGACAGAGAGCCCTCCCATTTGCTGGTTCACTCCCCAAGTAGCCACAGTGACTGGAGCCAGCCCAGGTAGAACCCAGAAGCTAGGGACTCCATGCCACATGAGTGGCAGGGACGCAGGTTCTTGAGCCATCATTGCTACTGTCCATGGGTGCATTAGCAGGAAGCTGGAGTCAGGAGCCAGAAACAGGAATCCAACCTAGCTACTCTGATGTGGAATGTGTGCTTTTAACCACTAGGCTAAACATCTGCTCTGAGTGGAAATCATTTTAAACTCTCAGCTTCGGTTTTCTAATCTGTGAAATAGAAGACTTTCTGATTTACTTGTAAGTCAGGTGCTTTTTAGGTACTTGAACACTTTCTGCCTTTTATGTTCTTGAAGCAAGGAGGTAGAAATGACAGTATACTGAGCAAGTACTTTGATTTTCTTTTTTTTTTTAATTCTTTTTCGCCCAAAGAAATCTTTTATTTAAGGAATACAAACTGCATGCATTTCATAAGTAGAACTTTAGGAATATAGTTCATACCCGCCCTCCAACTCTCACTCCCCCCCTCCACTTCCTCCCTCTCCCATTCCCAGTCCCATTTGCCGCTAAGATCCATTTTTAGTTATCTTTATACACAGAAGACCAACTCTACACTAAGTAAAGAGTTCAACATTTTTCATGAAAACAAAAAAGAAAAAATCTGTCCTGTTTTAACTTAATGGCCTGTTAGTCTTAACAATGAACTTAATATTTTCCCTTAATACTTTCTCTGACAGGCAGAAAATGTATTTAAATATAACACAACTATAGTTTAGCTTGACTTACGTAGTTGGAATGTGAACTAATGAAAATTAGGATCTGAATCAATCGGCGCTGTGGCTCACTAGGCTAATCCTCTGCCTGCAGTGCCTGTACCCCAGGTTCTAGTCCCGGTCAGGGTGCTGGATTCTGTCCCTGTTGCTCCTCTTCCACTCCAGCTCTCTGCTGTGGTCAGGAAGGCAGTGGAGGATGGCCCAAGTGCTTAGGCCCTGTACCCAAGTGGGAGATCAGGAGAAGCACCTGCCTCCTGGCTTCGGATCAGCACAGTGTGCTGGCTCAAGCCTTCACAATTTTTTTTTTTCCTGAGAATGAGGTGGCTTCAGCTTTGACCTTTCACGTGGAAAACACCCTCTTGTCTCTGTGGGACGCTCGGGAACAGTTGATCTCATCTGAAGCCAGGATCCAAGAGCTTCTTCCACGTCTCCCATGAGGGTGAGGGGCCCAAGAACTTGGGTCATCTTCTACTGCTTTCCCAGGCTACAGCAGAGAGCTGGATTGGAAAAGGGGCAGCCAGGACTCAAACTGGCGCCCGTATAGGATGCCGGCACTAGTGGCTTTACCCTCCACACCAGAGCACTGGTCCTTCAGTTTCCTTCGCTGGTTCTTTCCACTTCACCATTTTCTTTGTTGCCTTCTTGAGTCTCAGCAGAGTCAACACTGCTACAGGTTTTTCTGCTCCGATACTCGATCCAAATATTCACACTACCTTCAAACATGCACTTAGTGGATTCCCCATCCCCTACTGAAGTTCTAAACATGTCTGACATTCAACAAGGAAGAAAAGGATTTATTTTGTGGTGTATGTTTTACTTTATTAATTGGATTAAGACTTCCCTCCCCTTTTATTTGAGGTTAAGAACTGTGTTGATATTTTCTTTTTTCTTCTGAAGTGTCTTATTCTTGTTTTTGGATTTTATTTTTTTAAATAATTTAGTTATTTCAAAGGCAGAGTTACAGGGAAGGAGGGAAGGAGGGAAGCAGGGAAAAGAGAGAGAGAGAATGAGAGAGTGCTGGTTCACTCTCCAAATGGCTGAAATAGCCTGGGCTAGGTCAGGCAAAAGCAGGAGCCAGGAGCTTCTTCCAGATCTCCCACATGGGTGCAGGGTCCACTTTCTCAGTCACTTTAGCAGGGAGCTGGATCAGAAGTGGAGCAATTGGAACTTGAACTGGCACTCATATTGGATGCTGGCTTTGCAGGTGATAGCTTAACCTGTTATGCCACAATGCCAGCCCCTCACTTTTGGATCTCTATTTAAGATGTGGGTTTTTGTTGTTGTTGTTGTTATTAGATTTTAGCAGTTCAAACACTGCTGTTGGTATTCTACAATTCAGTGATTAATTAATTGTATAGAACTTGACTAGGTTGCAAGTGAGGTGGCCTGAATAGGTTGATAGTGAAATAGTACTCAGAAGCTGTTCTGTCCTGATTCTGTGTCAAGAAGAGTAAGTGTAACAGAGATACTTCACAAGAAGGTTACTTTTTCTGGGCTGGCTTTGTGATGTAGTGGGTTAAGCTGCCTGCTTCAATGCCAGCATCCCATATGGATGCAAGTTTGTGTCCCAGCTATTCTACTTCGAATCAAGCTCCTTGCTAATGTGTCTGGCAGTAGCTTTTCTACTTCCAGTCAAACTTCTTGCTAATGTGTCTGGGAAAGCAATGGAGGGTGGACTACATACTGGGGCCCCTGCACCCATGTGGGAGACCTGGATGAAGCACCTGGCTTCAGCCTAGCCTAGTCCAGCCATTGCAGCCATTTGGGGAGTGAACCAGCAGATGGAAAATCTTTCTCTCTGTCCTCCCTCTCTGATTCTGATTCTAACTCTGGTTTTTTTTTTTTTTTTAAATGGTACTTTTCAAGGAATTGTGAATGCTGGATGTGTCACTTTGTACAAGCTACAAGAGGTTTGGAGAAGAAATGAGAGGAATTTAGAGGACCAGGGTCACTTTCTTACTGTGATAAGCATACTTTGGACACAAGACTTCTGTTCACATCTTTTGTCTTTAAGAGTTGGTTGTGCTTGTTTTCTGTCTATAATCTCATCGACCTTCATTGAATATATTCAGTGTTGAGTGGAAAAGTAAATTCGTATGCTTTTGTGTTTACAGTGGGATCATGAAGCCTGGCCTCAATGCTATCCTGGGACCCACAGGTGGAGGCAAATCTTCGTGAGTATAAAAGATTCCAAGCAGGTGTCTGCTGTGCACTTGTCATATGCTTTCCAGAATCACTTTCATGGGAGTTGGTTGTGCATTTGCTGTGTGTGCCCAGTCAATGTCAAGGTGCTGTGGACACCATGCAGTTGTGTTAATTTGTTGTTCTTTCCCAAGGAACAGGAGGTCTTACTAGGTCAGCATTACTAATGAGACAGGATAAGTTGATTGGCAGAGGTTGGCCATATTAATAGCTAATGGGTTGGTGCTGGCGCCACGGCACACTAGGCTAATCCTCCGCCATGGGGTGCTGGCACACCGGGTTAAAGTCCTGGTTGGGGCGCCGGATTCTGTCCTGGTTGCCCCTCTTCCAGGCCAGCTCTCTGCTGTGGCCCGGGAGTGCAGTGGAGGATGGCCCAAGTGCTTGGGCCCTGACCCCATGGGAGACCAGGATAAGTACCTGGCTCCTGCCATCAGATCAGTGCGGTGCGCTGGCTGCAGCCAGCCACAGTGGCCACTGGACGGTGAACCAAGGGCAAAAGGAAGACCTTTCTCTCTGTCTCTCTCTCTCACTGTCCACTCTGCCTGTCAAAAAAAAAAAAAAAAAGAGCTAATGGGTTGGAAGAGAGAGAAGAGGATCATATTAAAAGTCAGAGGATAGAGTTGAAGGCCTAAGTGAGCCTGAGCCTGAGATAAAGGAACACATTGCCTCTGTAGGGACCACCGAGGCTGGACAGCTGGGAGAGTCACTGGGGGGCTCTGTGCCAGATCAGTCATGGTGTCTTGCTTTTGTGTTTTGGGGCATTATAAATGTGTATCATGAAAAAAGAAAGGTGAGAATTTAAATATAGCAGTGGAGTTGACCGTGATCAACTTAGGGGTCAGGGGCTCTGACACCTCCACACAATTGAAAAGCTGTATGTAACTTTTGACTCCCTGCAGTAGCAATAGGAAATGTCTACACATTTATTCCAGTGGTTTTTCTAACTTGAGCAGAGTTTGGATTCAGGTTTTGGTGTATAGCCTGTGCTGGAGAGGAAGAGACCCTGACATCTGTGTCCTTTGATAGGTTGTTGGATGTGTTGGCCGCCAGGAAAGATCCACACGGGTTGACTGGAGATGTTTTGATAAACGGAGCACCACAACCTGCCAATTTCAAGTGTAATTCGGGGTATGTGGTGCAAGTAAGTATTCCTGGGTTGGCATTTCTCTGTGGGCAAGCATCTTGGCTGCTGGTGGAGTGTGCATCCAGTCGATCATTAGTGTGCTTGTGGAAACAGTGTTTGTGACGCCAGATTTTCATAATCTTCCAAAGCTTGAGGGAGGGTTCCATGGAAAGGTGGGGGCACCTGGGGTGTGACCCTCGGCAGGGCAGTGATGTCAATTCTAGTTATTGGGTCCATCCTACAGGGTACCACGGTTGTCCTCTTTGGTCCTGCCTTCACCCTTCCTGCTGGTCCCTGCCTAGAGAGATGTTTTGGCAAACCCTTGTGTAGGGCAGTCTGGAAATGGGTGCTGTGGTGGTGACCCTTCCTGTGTTCTAGTTGGGCGTGCAGGGGAGGGGATGGAAATAGTTCCCTGAGGCCTGCAGCTGCCTCTGCACACAGTTATCAGTGCCTTCCTGAAAGGGACAGGACTTCACTCTAGGTGTGTTATTTTTGTGCATTAGTTACACACACCGGAGCGTGACAATCTTGGAAAAGACTTGCTAGGTCTCATTCCGATTCCATTTTCCCTTTAGGATGATGTCGTGATGGGCACTCTGACGGTGAGAGAAAACTTGCAGTTCTCCGCAACGCTTCGGCTTCCAACCACTATGTCGAACCATGAAAAAAATGAACGGATTAACAAGGTCATTCGAGAGCTGGGTCTGGAAAAAGTGGCAGATTCCAAGGTAATGTGAAGGAAACGCATGGGGTCAGAGCAGCACGTTGGATCTCCCCAGAGTGGGCGACGGGCCTCTGATTCAGAGCTTGCTATAATGTGTGTGGGCAAACGTGGCTCGTTCCACGGTGGGAAGGTTCCTGCACAGAACTCTTAACAATGGATGCATCCCGGAAATGGGGTGTGGCCCAGAGGGGAAAGGCTTTCTCGTGCCCTGCCACCCTCACCGGGGAAGTCAGGTGCACTGGCAGCTCTGCACCAACTTGTCCTCTCCTTCTTTGTTCTTCCCTTGTTCACTGTTGTTTTCTCTGTCTTCCTTTGGGGACTGTGTTCCATGGCTTTGTGGACAAATATTTCTGGAATTGATAAACGGCAAGAACCTCAGGATTCTTGGTCCAAATGTTTAATATGGCTATAATTGGCTTCCAGAATTATATTTGGTCTGTGGGGAGCAAACCGGACTAGACTGAGTTACTGGAATTAAGACTTATTCTGTGCATCTGCTCTCCCACAGTATGGCGCTGGGAGAGAAGTAAACAGCTTCCGCACAGCTGCCTCCAGTTCAACCAATAAACTGTAGGACTTGCTACTGATTGGAGGAGGGCAGCGTACTCGGCGTGTGGGCAGCCGAGTTGGGATTGGCGGAGGAGGACTATAAAGGAGGAGAGAGACGGCATGCACCAGGAACATCTAAGAGGAACATCTATCTGAAGGAACACCTGTGCAGCCCCCAAGAAAGCCGGCCGGTGGTGTGCCGCTCCCCTGCGGAAGTGGGGAATGTGGCCAGGGGGAACTGCCCTTCCACGGAGGTGGAAGGGATAGTAGCCAACCCGGGAAGAACCAGCAGCAAACCCGGGGAGGGCCGAGCAGACGAAAGAACAGCGCAGGGTCCTGTGTCGCTCCTCCACGAAGAGGGGGAGTGACATGGTCAAATAAGGATATATTTCTGGTCTGTGTAGTGTCCAAGTTATTTTTCTGCAGCCTTCCTCTTGGCGTTTTTGTCTCCCATCATCTCCTTCCTTTCTTTTCTTCTAACAATTTATATGTATAGACTGTTATATACCAAGTTGTCTTTGAGGCTTAAGAGATACAGTTGTGTGTAGGATTAAGAAAGAGTGAACAAAGTATCTTTTTTTGTGAGTTGTGCAAGATTAGGAAGAAAAAAATAAGTGAACCATACAGTCCATTAATAGGTATGGAATTTTTGCTGAAAATCCACTTGATGGTTTGGGTGAAAATGAGCTTGTTATTTATTTTTCTTTTTTAAATTTGAGAGGCAGAGAGAGATGTTGTTACTGATAGGTTAATAGATTGGTAGACAGACAGATGGATAAAAGCAGAAAGAAACAGAGACAGGAGCTTCCATTCACTGGTTCACTTGCCAGATGCCTGCAACAGCTGGGGCTGAATCAAGTTCAGTCAAGGTCTCCCACTTGGGTGGTGGGAGCCTAATGACCTGCTGCCTACCAGGGCCTATGTTAGGAATCAGGAATCGGAGCTGGGAATCTAATCCAGGCAGGCACTCTAATGTGGAACACAGGTGACCTCAGTGCTGGACTAAACACCTGCTCCATTAAAACAACCCGATTAGATTTGAGTTGTGGTTGGGGGGAGAAGGAGAGAGAGCAAGAGAAGTGAGCTTCTGCAGTGTGGTGGCTATGGTTTAATCCCTGTGAGAACCCTCACTCAATGGCAGTGAAGCTGGGACACTTGGCTGGCTGCTGCTTCCTATGACACTGACCATGTTTTGCTGTATTTTGTTTGGAAGAGTAACTGAAATGTCCCCATTTAGTCCTTATTTTTGTTTTCTGAGCTAGCTTTGCTTTGGCTCCACATATTTTCAGTAAAGTCCTTTCTTCTACTCTGTTCTTTACCACTAGGCATCATTACCCTAAGTTACTTGGATTCTTGAGGAAAATACACAAAGGCAGTTGGTGATGTCTTAGAATTCATGTGGTCTCATTGAATGAAATAATTGATTGAAATAACACATTTTAGGCCGGCGCCATGTCTCACTAGGCTAATTCTCTGCCTGCGGTGCTGGCACACTGGGTTCTAGTCCTGGTTGGGGCGCCGGATCCTGTCCCGGCTGCCCCTCTTCCAGGCCAGCTCTCTGCTGTGGCCAGGGAGTGCAGTGGAGGATGGCCCAAGTGCTTGGGCCCTGCACCCCATGGGAGACCAGGATAAGTACCTGGCTCCTGCCATCGGATCAGCGCGGTGCACTGGACGCAGTGCGCCGGCCGCAGCGGCCATTGGAGGGGGAACCAACGGCAAAGGAAGACCTTTCTCTCTGTCTCTCTCTCTCACTGTCCACTCTGCCTGTGAAAAAAAAAAAAGAAAAAGAAATAACACATTTTAGATGTTTTTTACTTTTCATGGAATTTTAAACAGAAAGTAGAGAACATTGATTGCTGTATTAATTATATGATTATTAGGTAATTAATACGAGTATGATTACTAATACTGTTCACCTAGATTTCTCAGTTGTTAACATCTTAGTCCATAATTACGTCAGGTTTTTTCTCACTGAAATAGTTTAAAGAAAGTCATACTTAACCCCTGCACACTCACTATGCATCTGTAAAACAGTGAAGACATTTGCCTACATTACCACAACACCATTATCAACAGAAGGAACAGTTTCTTCATAGCATCAACCGTGTCGCACCTGCATGCATTCACATTTCCCAGATTGTCTCCAGGTGACTTTTGTAGCTCGACTGATACTAGGATCCAGGGCACAAGGGCCGAGGTTGCATTTCACTCTCTCTTTGGAGACTCTTTTTTTAAAAATAACTTTTAAGAGTCCAGCGCTGTGGCGTAGCAAGTAAAGCCACCGCCTGCTCTACTTCTGATCCAGCTCTCTGCTATGGCCTGGAAAAGCAGTGGAAGATGGCCCAAGTGCTTGGGCCCCTGTACCCATACACCCATGTGGGAGTCGTGCAAGAAGCTCCTGTCTGCTGGCTTCGGATCAGCACAGCACTGGCTGTTGCGGCAAATTGAGGCGTGAACCAGCGGATGGAAGACCTCTCTCTCTCTCTCTCTCTGCCTCTCCTTCTCTCTGTGTAACTCTGACTTTAAAATAAATAAATAAATCTTAAAAAAAACTTTTAAAAGATTTATTTATTTTCATTTTATTTGAAAGGAGGAGAAACAGAACGACAGAGAGAAGGGTCTTCCATCCTCTCAATCTCTCCCCAAATGACCGCAACCGCTGGGGCTGGGCCAGGCTAAAGTCGGGAGCCTGGAACTCCATCCAGGTTGCTCACATAGGTGGCAGGGCCGCAGGTACGTAAGCCATCACCTGCTTCCTCCCAGGGTGCGCATTAGCGTGGGACTGGATGGGAAGCCGAGGAGCAGGACTTGAAGAAGCCACTCGAGTATGGGAAGCCGGCTTCCTGAGTGTGCCTTAACTGCCGTGCCAGCTGCCCACCCCGTCTCTGGAGATTCTTAATGTAAAAGTTGATTCCTACTTCCTGTCACCCCAAAGTCGTCTTCTTTTCACTACCAAAGTGACATCGTCTGGCTGAAAAAGTGGAACCCATTGCCCTGTAGAATATCCTGCCTTCTGGATTTGTCTGAAACAGTGGACCAGGGTTAATTCTGCGGGAGGCAGGGTGTGCACAGGGTCAGTCTGGGGTACCTCAGCGCTAATAGGGTGTGGGAGAGAGTGAGTTTCCTGGCTGCCCGCGTCCAGTCTCCTTCGTCCACCTGGCGACTGCCGACGTGAGTGAGGGAGGTTATTAGAAGACCTATCCATTCCTCTCCCATCTCTGTCTCCCCTTCTAGACTGTGATCCCACTATATCAGCGCCATGTTTGAGCATTCTAACCTGACTGTCTTAAAACTAGCTGACTTGGTAAGGAACACTGTGAACTGTTAGACCTGGGCCTCGTCAGCAGCTCTGACCCGAGCCGTAGTTCACACAGCAGACCACTGTCCTCCTCCCAGGCTTCATGGTTTGCTGTTTGTATTGAATGAGGACAGTGAGATGGAAAGTCTCCTAAGGGGTGGCGATGCTGGGAGGTCCCGGTGAGAGTGACTGTGGTGGTTTTGTTGACGGTGCTGATAAATTTGTGTTTTAGGTTGGAACTCAGTTTATCCGTGGGGTGTCCGGAGGGGAGAGGAAAAGGACCAGTATAGGAATGGAGCTCATTACGGATCCTTCCATCTTGTTCCTGGATGAGCCCAACACCAGCTTAGACTCAAGCACAGCAAATGCTGTCCTTCTGCTCCTGAAAAGGTAAACTCTGTGAGAACATTGTTCTTTGTAAAAATTATTTATTTATTCATGTGGCCACACCAGAGCTGGCAGGCCAAAGCCAGGAGCATAGAACTCCATCTGGGTCCTCTATGTTGATGCCTAGTCCCAAGCATTTGGGCCATCCTCCACAGCTTTCCCAGGTGCATTAGCAGGGAGCTGGATCAAGCCAGGGCATTAACTTGCTGCACCTGAGCGCCGACCCCTCTAGTTACTTTTCAATATTGAATTGAAATTGATTTCCTGCCCTGATCCTCAGTGAGCCAGCATACACTTGTGCATGTTGCTAACCTATGGTAGGTGCTTAAAAATGCTAACATTGAAGTGATTCTTCTCATAAAATCCTTTGAGTGATACTTTTGAATAGTGATTTTGGCCTTTGTTTCTTATAAGTGCTAACTCTGCTGAAAAGGTAGCTTAGTGCTGTCTCTGACATGGAGTGAGACCAGAGATCAAATCTAAGGCTTGCACCCTACTACACCAGGACACCTTGGCCAGTTTTGACCCTTTCGACCTTATCTGTAAAATGAAAGTGGTAATACCAGTGGAACTCCCTTATAAGAGTCCTGTGAAAATTGAAATGAAGTTATCTCTAAGGCATTCAGCAAAGATACTCCAAGTACTTGGTGATGTTAATCGAATCAGCAGTGAGAACTGGGCCTACCACCATTGCGTTGATGCTAGTGTATAAATACCTCTCACACTGGAGCATACTAACAGACAACCTGGAGTGCTGGTTAAAATTTTTTTTTAACTTTTACTTAATGAATATAAATTTCCAAAGTACAGCTTATGGATTACAATGGCTTCCCCCCATAACGTCCCTCCCACCCGCAACCCTCCCCTCTCCCACTCCCTCTCCCTTCCATTCACATCAAGATTCATTTTCAATTCTCTTTATATACAGAAGATCAGTTTAGCATACATTAAGTAAAGATTTCAACAGTTTGCCCCCACACAGAAACATAAAGTGAAAAATAGATGATTTTTTAAATGATGATGAAATCAGATCAGACCTATTGTCATGTTTAATCCCAGTGAGAGTCAAGTTGGGAATGGATAATTTCTTCTTCTTCTTCTACTTCTTCTTCTTCTTCTTCTTTTTTTTTTTGTACAGAAGATCAGTTTAGTATACATTAAGTAAAGCTTTCAACAGTTTGCACCCCCATAGAAACACAAAGTGAAATATACTGTTTGAGTACTCGTTATAACATTAAGTCTCAATGTACAGCACACTAAGGACAGAGATCCTACATGAGGAGTAAGTGCACAGTGACTCCTGTTGTTGACTTTACAAATTGACACTCTTGTTTATGGCCTCAGTAATCTCCCCATGCTCCAGTCATGAGTTTCCAAGGCTATGGAAGCCCCTTGAGTTCTCTGACTCTTATGTTGTTTAGACAAGGTCATAGTCAAAGTGGAGGTTCTCTCCTCCCTTCAGAGAAAGGTACCTCCTTCTTTGAAGACCTGTTCTTTCCACTGGGATCTCACTCACAGAGATCTTTCATTTAGGTTTTTTTTTTTTTTTTTTTTTTTTGCCAGAGTGTCTTGGCTTTCCATGCCTGAAATACTCTCGTGGGCTTTTCAGCCAGATCCGAATGGCTTTAGGGCTGATTCTGAGGCCAGAGTGCTGTTTAGGACATCCGCCATTCTATGAGTCTGCTGAGTATCTCGCTTCCCATGTTGGATCACTCTCCCCTTTATTTATTCTATCGGTTAGTATTAGCAGGTACTAGACTTGTTTATGTGCTCCCTTAGACTCTTAGTCCTTTCATTATGATCAATTGTGAACTGAAATTGATCACTTGGACTAGTGAGATGGCATTGGTACATGCCACCTTGATGGGATTGAATTGGAGTCCCCTGGTATGTTTCTAACTCTACCATTTGGGGCAAGTCAGCCTGAGCATGTCCCAAATTGTACATCTCTTCCCTCTCTTATTCCCACTCTTATGTTTAACAGGGATCACATTTCAGTTAAATTTCAACACTTAAGAATAACTGTGTATTAATTACAGAATTAAACCAGTCATATTAAGTAGAGCAGATAAAAAAAATTACTAAGAGGGATAATGTATTAAGTTGTTCATTAACAGTCAGGGCTATGCTGATCAAGTCACCATTTCTCATAGTGTCCATTTCACTTCAACAGGTTTCCTTTTTTGTGTTCAGTCAGTTGTCACCGATCAGGGAGAACATATGGTATTTGTCCCTTTGGGACTGGCTTATTTCACTCAGCATGATGTGTTCCAGATTCCTCCATTTTGTTGCAAATGACTGGATTTCATTGTTTCTTACTGCGGTATAGTATTCTATAGAGTACATATCCCATAATTTCTTTATCCAGTCTACCATTGATGGGCATTTAGGTTGGTTCCAGGTCTTGGCTATTGTGAATTGTGCTGCAATAAACATTAGGGTGCAGACCACTTTTTTGTTTGCCAATTTAAATTCCTTTGGGTAAATCCCAAGGAGTGGGATGGCTGGGTCGAATGGTAGGGTTATATTCAGGTTTCTGAAGAATCTCCAGACTGACTTCCATAGTGGCTTCACCAGTTTGCATTCCCACCAACAGTGGGTTAGTGTCCCTTTTTCCCCACATCCTCGCCAGCATCTGTTGTTGGTAGATTTCTGTATGTGAGTCATTCTAACCGGGGTGAGGTGAAACCTCATTGTGGTTTTGATTTGCATTTCCCTGATTGCTAGTGACCTTGAACATTTTTTCATGTGCCTGTTGGCCATTTGGATTTCCTCTTTTGAAAAATGTCTATTGAGGTCCTTGGCCCATCTCTTAAGCGGGTTGTTAGATTTGTTGTTGTAGAGTTTCTTGATCTCTTTGTAGATTCTGGTTATTAACCCTTTATCTGTTGCATAGTTTGCAAATATTTTTTCCCATTCTGTCAGTTGTCTCTTCACTCTCCTGACTGTTTCTTTTGCAGTACAGAAACTTCTCAATTTGATGCAATCCCAATAGTAGATTTTGGCTTTGACTGCCTGTGCCTCCCGGGTCTTTTCCAGAAATTCTTTGCCTGTGCCAATATCTTGAAGGGTTTCTCCAATGTTCTCTAATAATTTGATGGTGTCTGGTCGTAGATTTAGGTCTTTAATCCACGTTGAGTGGATTTTTGTGTAAGGTGTAAGGTAGGGGTCTTGCTTCATGCTTCTGCACGTGGAAATCCAATTTTCCCAGCACCATTTATTGAATAGACTGTCCTTGCTCCAGGAATTGGTTTTAGATCCTTGATCAAATATAAGTTGGCTGTAGATGTTTGGGTTGATTTCTGGGGTTTCAATTCTGTTCCATTGGTCTATCCATCTGTTTCTGTACCAGTACCATGCTGTAGTATGTCCTGAAATCTGGTATTGTGATGCCTCTGGCTTTGTTTTTGTTGTACAAGATTGCTTTAGCTATTCGAGGTCTCTTGTGCCTCCATATGAATTTCAGCATCATTTTTTCTAGATCTGAGAAGAATGTCTTTGGTATCTTGATTGGGATTGCATTGAATCTATAAATTGCTTTTGGGAGAATGCACATTTTGATGATGTTGATTCTTCCAATCCATGAGCATGGAAGATTTTTCCATTTTTTGGTGTCCTCTTCTATTTCTTTCTTTAAGATTTTGTAATTCTCATTGTAGAGATCTTTAATGTTCTTGGTTAAGTTTATTCCAAGGTATTTGATTGTTTTTGTAGTTATTGTGAATGGGATTGATCTTAGCAGTTCTTTCTCAGCTGTGGCATTGCTTGTGTATAGAAAGGCTGTTGATTTTTTTGCATTGATTTTATATCCTGCCACTTTGCCAAACTCCTCTATGAGTTCCAATAGTCTCTTAGTAGAGTTCTTTGGATCCTCTAAGTAAAGAATCATATCGTCTGCAAAGAGGGATAGTTTGACATCTTCCTTCTCAATTTGTATCCCTTTAATTTCTTTTTCTTGTCTGATGGCTCTGGCTAAAACTTCCAGAAATATGTTAAATAGCAGTGGTGAGAGTGGGCATCCCTGTCTGGTGCCAGATCTCAGTGGAAATGCTTCCAACTTTTCCCCATTCAATAGGATGCTGGCTGTGGGCTTTTCATAAATTGCTTTGATTATATTGAGGAATGTTCCTTCTAGACCCAATTTGCTTAGAGTTTTCATCATGAAAGGGTGTTGAATTTTATCGAATGCTTTCTCTGCATCTATTGAGATAATCATATGGTTTTTCTGTTAATGTGGTGAATCACATTGATTGATTTGCGAATGTTGAACCATCCCTGCATACCACGGATAAATCCCACTTGGTCTGGGTGGATGATTTTTCTGATGTGTTGTTGTATTCTATTGGTGAGAATTTTATTGAGGATTTTTGCGTCTATGTTCATCAGGGATATTGGTCTATAATTTTCTTTCAGTGCTGCATCTTTCTCTGGCTTAGGGATTAAGGTGATGCTGGCTTCATAGAAAGAATGTGGGAGGATTCCCTCTTTTTCGATTGTTCTGAATAGTTTGAGAAGAAATGCAATCAGTTCTTCTTTAAATGTCTGGTAGAATTCAGCAGTGAATCCATCTGGTCCTGGGCTTTTCTTTGTTGGGAGAGCCTTTATTACGCTTTCAATTTCTGTTTCAGTTATGGTTCTATTTAGGTTTTCTATGTCTTCATGGTTCAACTTAGGTAGATTGCATGTGTCCAGGAATCTATCCATTTCTGATAGATTTTCCTGTTTGCTGGCATACAACTCTTTGTAGTAATTTCTGATGATTCTTTTTATTTCTGTGATATCTGTTGTTACATTTCCTCTTTCATCTCTGATTTTATTGATTTGGTTCTTTTCTCTTCTTTTTTTAGGTAGTTGGGCCAATGGGGTGTCAGTTTTGTTTATTTTTTCAAAAAAACAGCTCTTCGCTTGGCTGATTTTTTGTAATTTTTTTTTTGGATTCAATCCTGCTGATTTCTTCTCTGATTTTAATTATTTCTCTTCTCCTCCTAGATTTGGGTTTGGTTTGCTGCAGGTTTTCTAGGTCCTTGAGATGTGCTGAAAGCTCATTTATTTGGTACCTTTCCAATTTCTTGATCTAGACACCTATTGCTATAAACTTTCCTCTCAATACTGCTTTTGCCGTATCCCATAAGTTTTGATATGTTGTGTTGTTATCCTCATTTACTTCCAGAAAGTTTTTGATTTCTCTTTTGATTTCTTCTATGACCCAGTGTTCATTCAGGAGCATGTTGTTCAGTCTCCATGTGTTTGCATACTCTCTAGGGTTTCCTGAGTTGCTAATTTCCAACTTCATTCCACTGTGGTCTAAGAAGCTGCATGGTATGATTCTAATTCTTTTAAATTTGCTGAGACTTGCTTTATGGCCTAGTATGTGATCAGTCCTAGAGAAGGTTCCATGCACTGCTGAGAAGAATGTAAAGTCTTTAGGTGTAGGATTGAAAGTCTGTAGATATCTTTTAGATCCATTTGGGCAATAGTGTCGATTAAATCTGCTGTTTCCTTGTTGATCTTCTGTCTGGATGATCTATCTATTTCTGAGAGTGGAGTATTGAAGTCCCCCAGTACTGTTGTATTGGAATCTAAGTCTCCCTTTAAGTCCCTTAACATATCTTTTAAATAGACCGGTGCCCTGTAATTAGGTGCATATACATTTATAATAGTTACATCTTCCTGTTGAATTGAACCTTTAATCATTATATAGTGCCCCTCTTTGTCTCTCTTAACAGTTTTTGTGTTAAAGTTTATTTGGTCTGATATTAAGATGGCTACACCTGCTTTCCTTTGGTTTCTGTTGGCATGGAATATCTTTTTCCAACCTTTCACTTTCAGTCTGCATGCATCTTTGTTAGAGAGATGTGTTTCTTGTAGGCAACAAATAGTTGGGTGTTGTTCCTTAAGCCAGTCAGCCAGTCTGTGTCTTTTAACTGGACAGATCATGCCATTCACGTTTAATGTGGCTATTGATACATAGTGACTTTGCCCTGCCATTTTCCTGGAGATATTTTCTAGTATATGCTTTGAGCTTCCCATGCTCTTTTACTGGTAGGTGTTCTTCCTTTCCCTTCTTTCATATTGATGGCCGTGTTTCTGTGTTTCTGAGTGTAGCACATCTTTAAGTATCTTTTGCAGGGCCGGACGAGTGGCCACAAAGTCTTTCAATTTCTGTTTGCTATGAAAGGTCTTTATTTCACCTTCATTCACAAATGAGAGTTTAGCACGATATAATATTCTGGGCTGGCTATTTTTCTCTCTTAGCACCTGTGCTATGTCTCGCCATTCCCTCCTAGCCTGTAGTGTTTCTGATGAGAAGTCTGCTGTGAGTCTGATTGGAGATCCTCTGAGAGTAATCTGACGTTTCTCTCTTGCACATTTTAGGATCTTTTCTTTATGTTTCACTGTGGTGAGTTTAATTATAACGTGTCGTGGTGAGGATCTCTTTTGGTCATGTTTACTGGGGGTTCTATGAGCTTCCTGTACTAGGATGTCTCTGTCCTTCTCCAGACCCGGAAAGTTCTCTGCTAATATCTCACTAAAAAGGCCTTCTAATCCTTTCTCTCTCTTCATGCCTTCAGGAACTCCTAGAACCCGAATGTTGGTTTTTTTTAATAGTATCCTGTAGATTCCCAACAATATTTTTTAGATTTCTAATTTCCTCTTCTTTTCTTTGGTTTGACTGTATCCTTTCCTGTTCTCTGTCTTCTAAGTCTGATATTCTCTCTTCTGCTTCACCCATTCTGTTTTTAAGGCTCTCTAATGTGTTTGTCATTAGATCTATTGAGCTCTTCATTTCATTTTGATTTCTCTTCACTATCACACTTTCCTGCTCTACTAGTTTCTGCGTTTCATTTGATTCTTCCTTAAAATTTCATTTTCACGAGAGAGATTTTCAATCCTGTCCAATAAGGATTTCTGTACTTCAAGGATTTGTTTTTGAAAACTTCTAAATGTTCTTATCATAAATTTTTTGAAATCCGTATCTTGTATTTCTTCTATCTCATCATCTTCATAATCTTGGCTTGGGGTGTTTTGTTTATTTGGAGGCATCATAATGTCATCGTTGATCTTGTTCCCTCGATTTCTGTGTTTATTGCTTGGCATGGTTAATTATGTTTCCCTCACTGTGAGTTTTTTTTTTTTTATTATTATTATATTATGTCCGTGTTAAGTGGACTGCCTGCTGTTGGAGGAGCCTTGGAGGCTTGAGATGGGTGTGGCCTGAGAGCTCTGCTTGGTTCTTCAGGGTTACAGGTGTGCAAAGGTGACACCCTCACGTTATGCATGGTAAATCTCTCTTTATTTATTTATTTATTCATTTATTTATTTTATTTTATTTTTTGTTCAGGAGGTAAGTAATACTGCAAGGCTGAGCAGAATGGATGGTATTTAGCTTCCGATCTCTGGCTTCTACCCAAAGAGTCTGTGCAGGCTTGGTTTCTCCTGAGGACTCACACTGGGTTGCCTAGGCTACTGAATTGTAGCCTTAACTCTCCCCTTTTATTATGTATATCCCAGCTCTTTGTCTCTTGCTCGCCTTTGCAAGGTTGGCGGAGGGTGGAACTTGTCTGTACCAGTACGCCCCCACCTTTTTATTTATTTATTTATTTATTAATTTTTCCTTCTCTCCTGTAGTCAGTCTGCTGGACTTTCCCGCTTCAAAACCCGCGTCCCTCTAAAATTCTGTCTGCCGTTTCCCTGCCAATATCTCCGGTTACTGAGCTCACCTCCGCTTCCAGCGCCAATGTGTGGACTTGGAGCCCTGGGCGTCCCTCCTCTCCCCGCTGGTGTCTTTGTCACATAGACTCCCCTTCTGGCACTGGCGCTCTGACTCTGCGGCTCCCGTGGTTCAGCTTCCGCGTGGTGGGCGACCCTGCTCTCCCAGTAGGTCCTTTGAGTCACAGCGAATAGCTCCGGAAGAGTTTCCTCCGCAATTTTCCTTTTTCTGAGGCTACCGTAACTCCGCTTTTATTAAACTAAATTTTCCCGGACTATCGGGTGCGCGCCCTCACTATTCCGCCATCTTGGCTCCGCCCCCAAGAGGCGAGTGCTGGTTAAAATTACACAGGACTCCCTAGACCCATCTTCACAGATTCTAATGCAGCGACTGGAAAGACTACCCAGGAATCTGCCTTTTTAGTAAATGTTATAGTTGATTCTATACTCTCTATGGAGCACACTGTAAGAAACCCTCATCTTTTTTTAATTTTAAGACTTATTTATTTATTTGAAAGGCAGAGTTACAGAGAGAGAGAGAGGGAGAGACATGTGGGAGACCTGGATGCATGGTTCCAAGCACTTGGGCCATCTTCTGCTGCTTTCCCCAGCACATTAGCAAGGAGCTGGATCAGAAGTGGAGAAACTGAGACTTGAACTGGTAGGATGCCGGCATTGCAGGTGGTGGCTTAACACACTGTGCTACGACACTGGCTTCCCACACCTTTATTAATAATAGTATTGAAACCAGCTCTCTGCTGTGGCCTAGGAAAGCAGTAGAAGATGGCCCAAGTCCTTGGGCCCCTGCACCCACGTGGGAGACCTGGAAGAAGCTCCTGGCTCCTGGCTTTAGATCTGCGCAGCTCCAGCCATTGCGGACAACTGGGGAGTGAACCAGCAGATGGAAGACAGACACCTCTCTCTCTCTTTCTCTCTCTCTCTCTCTCTCTCTCTGCCTCTCCTCTCTCTGTGTAACTCTGACTTTTGAGTAAATATATAAATATTTTTTAAAAATAATAGCATTGAATGTATATTTCCCATCTTCCAGGTGGGTAATATGAGAGGTTAGAGAAAAATCAAATTAAATCAGGATCACGTGTTCCAAAGGCAGTACTAAATTATGTTACTAAGAAGTACAAGTTTCAGCTACTGAATGACTTCTTTTCTCTCTTTTAACTTAGAATGTCTACGCAGGGCCGAACCATCATCTTCTCCATTCATCAGCCTCGGTATTCCATTTTCAAGTTGTTTGATAGCCTCACCTTACTGGCCTCAGGAAAACTTATGTTCCATGGACCGGCTCAGCAGGCTTTGGAGTACTTCGCATCAGCTGGTATGGTTGACCCTTCCATGCAGAAGACCCTGCATTCCTAGAATCCTGAACAAGAACGAGAGGGGTCCATAGGAGCGCTGTCTGGTCTTTGGGTAGACGCACCATGAGTTCCGGCCCTCGAGACCTCTGTGGTCAGCTGGTGCTTGCTAGGATTGTTCCTCATTCTGCAGCACTTGCTTATTGCTTGGGTTGTTTTGCTTTTCCTGTTCTATTTGCATATGCATTCATGTGTGTGTCTGTGTGGTTTTTTTTTCTTCAAGATTTATTTATTTGAAAGGCAGAGTTACAGAGAGAAGGAGAGAGAGACACACACAGAGAAAGAGAGAGAGAGATCTTGCATTCTCTGGTTTATTCCCCAAAGGGCTCCAAGGGCTGAAGCCAGGAGTCTGAACTCCATCTGGGTATTCCAAAAGGGTAGTAGGGGCCTATGTACTTGGGCCATCTTCTGCTGCTTTCCCACGTGCATTAGCAGGGAGCTGGATTGTGTTTTTCTGTTGGGCCTATATCTCTGACCATTCCCTGAAAATTCAATAATTAACATATTGGGGGGGCGGTATTATGGCATAGTGAGTAAAGCCACCACCTGCGACACTGGCATCCCACATGGGGATTGGTTCAAGTCCTGGCTGCTCCACTTCTAATCCAGTTCCCTGCTAATGTGCCTAGGAAAGTGGTGGAGAATGCCCATTGTGGGAGACCTGAATGTAGCTCCTGGCTCTGCCCTGGCCTAGTCCTGGCCATTGTGGCTACTTGGGGAGAAAACCTGCAGATGGAAGATCTCTCTCTCTCTCACTCTCTCTCTTTCCCTCCCTCCCCACCTTTCAAGTAAAAATAAAGATCTCAATCCAAGATCTTCCAAATACAACCTTTAGTTAGAAGCCAAGTCTGAGTTCTATCAATAAATAACTAATCCTAACCAAAGTACAGCTGTAAGACAACAGACACAAGCCTTATCAGCAGGAAGCCATTAAACATTCTAACAACTCCATATTCAAAAACTTCGAGAAGCAAAAAATACACAAGATGAAAGACAACAAGCCATAAGTCAAATAGAGCCAGCCAGCTATTTTTTTTTTCAGCCCACTAACTGAGGATGGTTTTCCCATTTTTTTGTAATGATGGGGGTGGGGAGTATATAAAAATAGTATTTTTTGCAATAAAAAATTTATACAAAAACTAAAATTTCAGTGTCCATGAGTAACGTTTTATTGGAATACTGCATGTTCGTTCATTTAGGTCTTAGTTCTGCTGTTTTCAGGCTAAAGTGGCAGGAATGACAACCTGATACCACATTACCCACAAAACCTACATTTACCCGGCCTTTTACCAAAAAAGGTTTATTTCCTCTTAAGCTAACATTCCAGTATTTATAAATCTGAATAAGAACTGTCCCAGTTCTGGCTATTGCAGGCATTTGGGGAGTGAACCAGTGGATGGAAGATCTCTCTATCTCACTGTAACACTTTCAAATAAATACAGAAATCTTAAAAAAAAAATCCCAAGAATAAGAACATGACTGTGTTTTACT